CGATTATCATTTTATAAATATTTAAGTCCACTTCATCATAATTGAGCTGAGGAGCAGTGGACAGCCTGAAATATGGAGAAATACAGAGAGTGCTTTTGTAAAATTGAGCACTTCTTCAAGAACTTCTTCAGGAGATTCATCTTTAATGTAGTTATGTCTATCTTTGCGTAACGACTGAAAACAAATCTGAGGGACAACGTATACACACAGTGAGTGAGTTAACATTTTGCCATTTTAGTCAGTGACCATAAACATTTGGTATTGGGAAACAAATCCATTATTCAGACAGATGGTAGATGGGCAAAGTATCCAGGCTCTCACTGAGGGCCTTTGTGTTGTCCTGTTACCTGAATTATTTATCGCTTAGCAGAAATATGGACCTGAAATAACCAGCCATTGAAAAACTAAGCTCAGGGAAGACGCAGAAAGAAGAAAAGATGAGGGAAAGAAGAGAGAGAGCGGGGGGAGGGGGGGGGGGGGCGCGGGCTGCACCTGATAGATGAGATGACAGATGCTGAACAGAAAGCCACATGGTGAAAAATGATGAGGTTACTTAACTGCAGAAGGAGGCAATTAGTAGACAATTAATCCATTTGTGTGTGAGCTGGCAGCAGCAAGACAGAGAGGTGATGATGATGATGTATTCAGTCACACACACACACACACACACACACACACACACACACACACACACACACACTCACACACACACACACACACACACACACACACTCACACACACAGGCTTCCTGACTTCATGTGTCCAGCGGGATTTGGTTTTCCTTTCTTCATGTTCACAATCAAAGCTGTCCGCAGCAGAACATGGGGACAGCGGGGTGGAGATAGAGCTCAGACTCAAATGCTTTTATCAACTCGTCTTCCTTCTTGTCTTTGCTTTCCTCCACCTCCACAATACTGCGACTCCCCCATCTCCTTGCAACTAACCCCAGCCCCCTTTACTCCTCATCTCACCTGCTGTGTTTTACTGTGTTTAGTTTCACTTTCACAGTCTTTGTTCATCACTCTTTGTGGTTGTTTTGTTCAGTACCAAACTGTTGCTTGTGATGAACAGCTGAAATAGAAACTGCACGACGCAGCATGTGGGTAGTGTGAGTATAAACCTGATTTATGCGATTCTGTTAGGGCACACTGCAGTGCTGAGATGTGTGTCCCATGTGACAAAACTCTAATGGAAACTGTTCATCTCACTGGACTGTCTAACTGCACATGGTTTACAGAACACAACCCCAGCATAACACTTTAAACATTAAGAGCAAACTGCAGCTAAGGATTATTTTTATATTGCTGATTATGTCTCAATTCATCATTTGGTCTAAAAAGTGTCAGGTAATAGTGAAAAATGTTTATCATATACTGTAAATTGTTTGGAACCCACAGATATTCAACTCGCCGTCATAGAAGAGTAAGAAAACCATTCACATTTGCAAAGCTGGAGCCAGATCTTTCTTGGCATTTTGTTTACAACTTAAAAAGTCTTTGGTTATCAAATATTTTTGTAGATAAATTGTCGATCAGCAAACATTTTGGAGGAAGTCAAAAATGACTAGCAGTAAACTAAATCCTTCAAGTATATACCTTAAAATATTTGGTGAGATGTGCACAAATGTCGTAATTTAAAGGGATAAAACTGAATTGGACCATGAGCAGACCAATGTATGCCCTAAATGTTGGTTATGCTCCTCATTTGCCCTTAAAATTAATGCAAAGGAGTTTATTTTGTGCATTTTGGTGATCTCTCCCTGAAACTGTAAAGGAAGGGGAGATAGAGCCATAATTCAGCAATAAATCGACACTGACAGGCAGTGAGAGTAGATTATGAGAGGTATATAGCATTTGAAAGATATTTTAAGGCATGTTTGTCCCCTTGGCTGTTGGCACACACAACAAAACACAAATGCAAAACATGGCAAACGCATACACCATCTAAGCAGACAACCACACTTTGATGTACAGTATGCATGGTGAGATGTTTCCAGCGGACTGCAGTGAGGACTCCCTCAGGAGCGTGGGAGAAATACACAGCCTCAGAGCCCGTAACTGTGTCAAGCACCTACTCCCACACACAGCCCGAGGTTTCTAATAAAACCCTGATTCCTCTGCTAAATCGATATTTCGTGGAGCTCCGTGTGCCAAACACCACAGGGCGGTGCGCTATGCGCTGCACATTAGGAGTGCAAGTACACATCCACGGACTGAAAGTTGGACATATAATGTATTAACAAAACAATATGTTTCCAGTTAAAAAGATGAATATCCACACGACAGGTTATAAATTTGCATTGTTGCCTGTTTACCCTGCGTAAAAGTTAAACGAAGAGCATTTTCAAATATAGAGCAGATGTCATAATGTGAATATTTAACCACACGTTCCTATCATGCCAAAAAGAAAGAACTGTCTTCTTTAATTGCCAATTTAAGTTATTGCTGGACTGGATTGGCGGAACTACCTGCGTGCCAAGCGATGCGCATTTTACGCTAAAATGTCTTTATCAGACAAACGGCTGCACGAGAAAGTGACTTATTACGGATTAAAACAAAACACATGGATCCTTTAAATAAACTGCACTCTTACCTCTTGTGTAGGAGCCGTGCTCTCAGCGATCTATGCCCGCAACCTGTGAGCGTGTTGATGGGAAGCGTTCCTCCTGCCCTGTGGAGCAGCCAAGCACATGCTTAGCAGCAGCAGCAGCTCCACCAGGGGCCACTGACAACAGCACAGCTCAGTGGGACGGACAGACGGCTGCACTGTCCGCTGCAAGAGCTCAAGCTCCTGTTGGATCCACATAAGACCCTGCTGACAGGATGACTTCAGCTGACTGGAGGAGGAGGAAGGAGGTGCCAGATTCTACTATCAAGGTCATTCAGTTCAAACCAGATTTATATCTTCATACTTGTCCCTTGTCTTTTGATGGTATTTGTCTTTGAGCTAGAACTTTAAAGCTCAAGTCTGTCATATGCAAATGTGCTGTATATTAACATTATTAAATGGTGGGTTTAACTTTAAGGGGAGCTCCATTAATTTCACACATCAAAGTCTGGCTACAGATGTTGGGGTGGGGGGGCGTAGCATATGTGAAAAACATAGTAATTAAAGATAGGCGTAGCCTCTGATGTCTCCCACACATTTCTGAAGAAAGGTTTTGAAGCTCAGAGTGGGCTGCTCTACCGCCGCCATCTGGGCAGCACCTTGCTATCCCATCTAATCCAGAAATTTAGCAGAGATAGGGCGTGTGTGGAGCAGAGTCTCCCGTTAGCGTTAGCACATGTGAGCCCTGTCTGAAGGCTAACCCAAGGCTAATTCATTTGCTGTTGAATAAGCTAGTTAATGAGGTAAGCTAACAAGTCACATATGTATGTTGAGCGCAGACACTGATACCTGCTAATTACTGCTAACGTTTAAATTAAATAATTTCGAGGAACTGCAACTTCTGTGTTGGCTTATTTTTTCACCCTGGAGGTTGCCGCTTAGAAAAATGTTGTATAAAGCCTTTTGTGGCTCCAGAGGAAGCTGTATGAAGTCTGATAAATTCACTCAAGTGATGTCACTTAAGTCAGCATCAATTGTGTTTGGCATATTTTGACAAAGAAGACGACTGTACGGAATAAGAAAGACAATATCTGGTTCTGCCGTATTGATTTTGAAACTTTTTGTATTGTCCATTGTGAGCTTGTCAACTATACAGGAGTGCAATGCAAAATCTTTCAACAATAAAAACTTTCAACTGTTCATCATCATAGGCTGGTTTTCTTGCTATGTTCAAACAAACCAATAATCATCAAGAAATACTGTTTTGTTGTCATGTTTCAATCTTGTGTTTAGTTTTACTTTGTTTACATTTGGATCAGAGGTTGTGCCTTCAAATGACCACATAACATACAGTAAAGATATCATTCTGAGCTCAAACCTCAAGGTCAACCAAGACAACAGCAGTTCATGGTTAGATATTTTCAGTCGGAGCATCTGCATGCTGTCTGTGAAGGGAAACAAAAATCAAACCAGTTGCCAAATAAACCTGCTCAATAGACTGGCAAGCAGCTCATAGTATAGAAACGAACCTGAATGCAGACAATTGTATGGCTACAATTCAATACAAATGATGAGTGCCATGCAGGAATACTGAGAGCTACAACAAATATAGATTAAAGCATGACAGTCAGCCTGAACCTCATGACTCATTTCAGTGCAAAGAAATGGCACATGACCAGTGTTCACTTGTATGTTGTGTATGCATGTGGGTGTGCAACTATGTATTCATGTGATGTGATTAACACAACACCAATACAAAAATAAAAATGTGTTAATTGTACCGTGATTCATTACCTCATTACATTTAAACTACATACATGCCTTTCAATACATTAGCAAACAATAAACCAGTTGGTATCATGTGGGGTACTTATTGTGTTTCATGTGTGAACATGGACTGAATCAGAAATGCTCAGCTCTCACCCTGTTCCTATTTTTTCGGCTCATATTTTCTGTAGACAGAAAAACCAGACAAAAATCAAAGAAATGAGTGGATGAGAAGAACGTGAGCCACAGTAATACTCCAACTCTTGACCTACTGAATCTTCACCTCCAACATTTCTTCTTCAGGATATATCAGACGACCAATTTGGTTAAAAACTGCCCGGCTTTTTGCCACCACCTTCCTTAACATGATGGCAAAAGTGGCACTTCTGCCACCAGCTGAAGCCTCTCTCAGTATAATGGTTTGCTTCCGTCCCCTTGCCCCTTGCAGCTGCTCGCTCTCTCCCCTTCTCTTCCTCTGGTTCTCTGCAGCTGACAGGACGGTGCAGGCCAGGGGACAATTAGAGAAGCGTGGGAGAGACAGCTGGACCTGTTGCCAATTACACTGACTGTGACCAGGAACCACACACATAAGCCACTTTAATGGGCTCACACTGCACATTTAAGCCCATGGTACTTGTGGACTTAATGTGAGTTGACTTAAACTGACTTTCAGAAATGAAAAATAAAATAAAAAAGTGTTAGTTTTATTTATTCATCTCCATAGGAAAAAGTTAGATAGTGAGTAAAAGTGCTTTCTGAGGAACAACTTGTAGTGTTGGCTTCTACATACATATGCAGCAAAATAATGTAACAGAGCAACAAAGTAACTGTGAGAACAGACTGCTGCAGTATCTGGTGTCTCCAAACTGCACAGGAAACAGTGACATGATCAAGTAGTTTCATGTGTGTGCTAAATCTAAGAATGGACAATATGTCCACTCCACCATCATCAGTTCAAGTCTGTCATCAGTAGCAGATCTTTCCCAGCAGCATACTCTGCAGCTGCCTGATCCTGCTTTCCTGTGGCAGCAGACTCTTCTCTGCTCGCTCCTCCTCCTCCAGCAGCTGCTCGATGTAGCAGGAGGAGCCCAGCAGGATGTGGCCTGTGGCCTGCATGGAGAAGATGGTCCATCGCAGAGCCTCCCTGGAAGCACAGCACAGAAAGACAGGGAAAGTATAAGAGAGTTGTCATAAATAGCAAATTCCCATATGTGCAGATGGTTACACAGATACACACAAACACAGCATTTGAGTAACTTAGGATACATATGTATGAGAATTGCTGTTGTCTTTCAGCTGCTCCCACGAGGGGTCACCACAGCAGATCACCAACGGTCGATGTGCTCTACCACTTGAGCCATGGCTGACCAAACATATGTATGAAAGTATTATCACAAAAAACAATGACATGTAATTTTTTGAGTAATTGTTATAGAAAACAATATAGACAAGCATGACAGACCACACAAGCTGATTAGCAAACTGCTGACAGGAAATATTCACAACCTCAGATGGTAATTTCACACATCAGCTGCATCTCATAAAACTGAAATCTAAGAAACAAACCTCCTCCACTGCAGTGTGAGCGCAAAAGCCTCATATATGACAAGTCTGCAAAATTTAATCCTCTCTGACTGAAGCTCTATGGCAAAGATGAAAACCAGCAGATCTCAGCAGCAGTGACATAACTCCCAAAATTAATCTCTGTAAAATCTAGCCTTTGTTCTTCTGTGATCTGACCATTTTAACTCTGCCACCCACACAAGTACAATATGACTTCATGCTTTACATGTCAGGGGCTGTGCGCAGAATGCTGTAAGCGGTGTTGATATGTTATTAAAGCGGCTGACACACGGTAGGAAATGGACCAGAAAATAACTGAATTGTTGGTGGGTGGCTGAATTCATGAATTATGAATCATTAAAATGGATCAAATTTCATCTCTAACTGGATTAAGCTGTTACTAAGAATCCAGATAGCACTTCAGTGAAGTCACCAGAGAGATGCTTTGAGAAAAGAGACAAATCAGTTACATAAGAGTTCAACACAAAAGCTTAAAAATATCAGAAGATCTCATATATTTGGCAGGCACTCACTTCAACATGTTTTTGGCAGCGTAACAGCGCAGGTCATAGGACACAGAATAAACACCGTACAGGGTTGCTTTGACGTTCAGGCAGCCAATGAAATCTTTAGGGTTGTTCTTGTAGAGGTCAAAGGTCAGCTTGGCCACATCTGTCCGGCGCAGCGGCCGGTGATCACTGAGCTGATCTCTCGAGGGGCTGTTCTGCGAGGGGACAGGAAGAGAAACATAAGTCAGGTCAAAAGGACACAGACACATTTTGTTGGTGTGCCAGCAAACTGGGCCAAATGACAGCACACAGCTCCACCAGCACACACTTGGATAACAGACTGAAGCAGCTCCTGCTGACGACAACGAAAAAGATGATGATGAAGATGGGAAAAGCAAATGACCATGAGACGAGGTCCGTGTCAGGTCATCAGAATAAATATTTAGGAGGGGATGCAAATCATCACATGCATCAATTTCTATGGAGATTAATTGCTTTTGGGTGAACACAATTCAAATTTGATGATACCCCTGGGTCTCATTAATATTCAAATCCAGCCTCTCATTTTTCCTCTACAAATTATGAAGGAAGAAACCAATCTCTGGTGTTTGCCTGTGTTTTGCCTTTGCACAATAACTGACATATTACTCCCCTACTCAGTTTGAAGGATGAAATATTTTTCATTATTAAATTTCACTGAATAGTTCATGTATTATTAATCAGACCAGATTCATGTAGCGTCCCTATTCATGGCTGCTTCATTAATGACACAGACACTTCTCTGTCGGTTCAGTCAATACATGAAATAAACACTGGCATAACAGAAGCTGAATAAAAGGAGACAGTATCAGTATGTTACGGTTCCCACAGTGTAATGCAGTGAAGCAAATGATCAACAGTGTCACCTAGTGGTTAATGTGAAAAGAGTCATACTGGATGTGGGGTCCACTTCTGTCCTTTCTCCAGGACCATGAGGACGGTGTTATCAGCCAGTGTCTGGAAGAACTCCTCTGTGTCCACACCTGTGCCATCCTCATCCAGCACCAACGCACTGACACACGGTACGCTCAGCGAGTCGCTGACCTGAGGAAGCAGGGACGAAAAGAAACGCACAGCAAGTGCATCGCTGGGTGAATAATGTGCCACATGTCATGGGACCAGACGCACATTACTCAAGAGGCAGAACTTCACATCACACAGAGCCACTGACACATCAATCTTATGAACTTTTCCCAGCATGAGCTTGAAATGTGTATGAGCATCACAGACGGTACAGCGGTAAGTGAGTCACAGGCCAGTCTGTGTTAATTTTAGTGCTCTATAAAACGCACCAGGGTGTCTCCCTGCTTCATCACTATGTCTTCAATCTTACCATTCCCTCAACTGAATGGCAACTGACTCAATGCTCGATTATCTTCTCCCACAACTATGTCACAACTCCTCCTCCTCCTCCTCCCCCACCCTACACCTCACATCCCCTGCGCTTCCCTCTCCTCACCTTGTTCATCAAGTCTTCTAGCGCATCTGCCATGATGCCTTTCTTCACACTGCGGTCAGCATTTGTGACTCTGAAGGGCTTTGGCTGAGGAGCTAGACCCGACAGGAGCTGCTGGGTCATGGAAGCACTGGCTGACACGCTGGCTGTCACACACCTGAGAAAAAGAAACATACAGACCAATCTGTAGCTACATCTCAAAAGTTAAACCTCTCTATAAACTGGTGATAGTGCTGACCATCACATCCAGCTCATGAAGCAGTGCTCTTACTTGGAGAGGGAAGACGGAGTCAAAAGGCTGAGAGACTTCATGGCATAATCCATCTGAGAGCACCTGGACCTGTGATTGGAAGTAGAACAGTTGAGCAACTAGACTGCAACTAACTGCAAGGCAACACATCAGCACTAGCACAGGGTTATATTACTAACAGGCCTCACAGAAAAGAAGGAACAAGTAGTCGATTTGAGGGAACATTGCAGCTTGAAAGTTAATAAATTTTACATTCCATTATTAAATTAAGGCAAACGACCTAAACTAAATTTGATTTAGTATCTTGATTTCCATACTTACATGAATCATAATTTGCTAATCTGTAAAATAAATCCCTCTTCCTGTATAAACTACACACATTTCAGAACACATTCCTGATAAAGATGACAAAGGAAATCTACAACAGAAATAATCTTAGAGTTTTAGAAAGGTGACACACACAACTGTTGTCCTGACCGTGTGCGAATATAATCCTTAGTTCCTGACGTCTTCTCCCAACTGCGTTTGGACAACTAAACCTCTGTGACAACACACTCTATTCTCTTGTTGCTGTTTCTTGCACCACTTGGTCACTGAACTTTACACTAATGACTGTTGAGCTAGTTGCGTACCAACAAGCTTTATTGAGTAATTCTCCATGAACACTCCCACTAACCCTCCCCATGACAGCCCTGGATTCCAGTTTATGTACAGAAACACAGTGACATTAACTGAGCACCTTAAAGGGTCAGTTCACCCAAACAGCAAAAATGCATTTTCTCACTTACCCTCTTGTGGTATGTGACCAAACAGATGGTTTTGGTTTAACAGGCCCAGGTTTTGAGATATCCACAAACTTTTTTTTTTTTAACAGAAGACACAGGGAAGAACTGCTGACAGTGTTTTCTATGGATTATGAAGATTAGCCTGTATATTGTAATTGGAAGACTTTAAATTAAAATTCCAAGCCAAATTCTACTCACGTTCGCTGTATTGGGGTGGCAGCAGACATTTCTGTCTACATGGCTAAATAGTGAGAATGTGTTTTTTGTAATTTGGGTGAATCAACCAAGTAAATCAGATGTCACATACAGTGTGGACATCAAACTAAAAACAGACAAGAAACAGATGAAACAGACAATGATCTAGTTGGATTTCATCCCATTAATACAGCTAAAAATGGAGTAAATGTGGTGATCATGCAAAAATACAGGTATTTGGGTGCTGTACTCATTTTTACTCATCATCAACTTCCATTATGTTAAAAGGGGAAACTACTCACCTACATATAGCCCCATAAGGGCTATATGACAAAATGAGGCTAAATGAAATTTCCCACATTAGGTCATCGTTCAATGTTCACCATGTTATCTTACAAGTGTAGGATTAAGCAGGCAAGGTGTGTCCAGCCCTCTCAGTGTTGTCACATCATGTTACACAACCAAACCTATAGGTAGCCTGAGATCACCTGTGTACACCAGTGACAACAGTTCAAACCCAGGGATTGATATGAAAATGATGTGCCAGCAATCTTACCCAGGTATGACTTTAAATCTGCTGTTTAAGTAGGAAAACACAGAGCCTCAGCTTCTATTATGAGCCACATTCGACTAGCAATTATTTGAAAACAATTGAAGGGTTGGAAAAGTAAAGATGACTGAATGTTTGTCTCACTGAAAAAAAACCAGAAGTGACCAGGTGTGATCTCACAAACCTGCTGAAACAATAGAAATAGGCAAAACACAACCCTGCTCAAGAGCACAATAAGTTTTGATTTACACAAAAAGCTAGAGAATACAAACTATTCTAGTTCCACTGCTATTCTCTTACACAATTCACATGCCATCGCCAGTAGCTATATTTCACACTGTCTGTGAGCTTTAGACACAGCTGAGCAGCACATCATTCACACCCAGCAGAGTCCTGTGTGACTGTGGCATTAAGAGAGGAAACAGAGGCAATGGGGGTGAAAATTAATCTTTTCACATCTGCAGAACACACACACAGTTCTGACATTAAGTATATTGTTTGCTTACTGGACAGGCCATAATCCTGTACTCTTGTTTTTTGTCACACTGCTAAACTGCCAAACAAAAGCTTTCTGAAAAAAGAGAAGGAAAAAGTCTAAGCATGAAAGATGACTCAAAATTAAAATGTTGGATTATCAGAGGTGTTCAGGTTAATACATGACATAACTGCCAACTCAAAAGAGGAAACCTGGTGAGGAAATCAACTTGTTGTTTTCTTTGGTTTCTAAGATAACATACGCCAAGCATTTAGATAGATGTCAAGATAATAAAATCCAGTAAAGATCGTAACCAGAAATTAGTATACCAACAGAATCTCTTGGACTTGAGGTAAGAACAGAGGTAGACTGTTGAAATTTCTAACCACTAAGGGGTAGGCCTTATACAGAAAACAGAGGAAAACAGTCTCCTTAATCAAAGGCAGACTCCATCACTAAGGACCCTTCACCCCACCTTCACCACTCCTTTCACCTACTCCCATCAGGCAGATGCTTCAAAGCACCACTGGCCAAAAAGAGAACTTACTTTCTAGTACAATATCCACCTTAAACAAGGCCAAATGGACTGTGAGTACTTTTAATGCAGCCTTGTACAGCTGCTCTTATTTATTTATGGACCTGTTGTGTTTTAATGAAATTTTAAGTGAGACTTTCCTTTCACAGGTGTATGCTTTTTTTATGTTTGAGTCCCTAACCTAATATTGTTTTTTAACACTCTGTGATATTATATTGTTTTATTTCATTTTTTGAAATTTTTATCCTTAACCATAAATAAAGATCATACCACCATAGCTAAATATTGAATTTAACAATATTTGCTGTGGTGTCTGAGAGATGTGTTTGATTTGATAAAAGTTAAAGTGGAGCAGGGAAATCGTAAAACAGTAAAACTTACCTTTCCCCTTTATGTTCCTGCTGTTAAATGTCCACGAGTCTGCCACTGCCTCTGCCCTAATTAACAACACCTGGATTATACTAATTAAGCACCACGATTTGCGCCATTTCGGCTAACTCTTTCTCTCCCTTGCTGTGTTTCAATTGGCTTACTCATTTACTTACTCACACTTGTTATTTTTAGTGCATAAGTGCATTCACATTGATAAATTTAGCAAAAAATAGGCTGCACACAAAACAGCCCAAAAAATTGATCCTCAACGGTCGCCACTTGGCTACGTAGCAGAAGGGTAGGGACCACCAACGTATTTTCAAACTTGTGAAATCGCAGATTTCAGTTGAAGGAGTTAATTTCCATGTTGCATCACACAATAGGGGCACGCACGGGAAAGTAAAACGTTTATTTTGAAGTGAAGTTAGCGAAGCAGTCGGCAGGTGGGCAGCAGTCGCAGTCACCTGTTGCGATCGTCACTTCCGGTGAGTGCGCAACGGCAGTGTGATTTGGGAGTATACCTTGTGACCCGCTTGTGACACAGTGTACTACATGTGAGTGAAAAACAGCTTTAGGTCGTTTGCAACAGTCAATCCAGTGCTGAGGTCGACATGATGAATAATTTTACTATATCCGTCTTTGGCCAAACTGTTCGCTAATACAACAACAGCCATAGATGTTAAAGACATATAAATTGCAGGCTGTGTGTAGAAGAGGCAATGAGGACATCATGCGGACAAGCGACGAACTGCTTCAATTGAGACTCCAGCAGGTAGGTAACACCGGGTTTGGCGTTAGATGCTGTGTTCACTCTCACTGTCATCTGACCTTATTCCTAAACTGGGATCTATATCTCCTGAGACGCCCACCGTCACTCTTTGCTGTCCATTCAATGCGTTAGACAGTGGTGGAAGAGAAGTGGAAGTATTCTTTAGCAATGACACAATGTAAAAATACTCCAGTAAAAGTAAAAGGTGCTTAGAAAGTACAAGCAAGTACCTTAGTTTTACTTTGAAGTTCAGGTATAGTACACCTTACTTTTATGCAACATTTCAGACTCCAGACTACTTAATACATACACATAATTATAAGACACAATTCACAATTAAAGATGAATAGCCTCTTAAAAACAGACTTAGGGCCTCTTATCATGTTTCAGATGTTTATGAGTTAATAGTTCAAGAAAGAGATCTTTGCTTTAAATGTTTCAGATGGTTTGATCTGAATTACTGTTGGAGGTCAAAAGCAAGTAAAGACTGGAGGAAAATTTGCAGATGTGTCAGAATTTTGTTTCTACGCGATAGATCATCTCAGGACCACTCAGATTCATCTTTTTTGGAGGGGTCTGATCCAAAGGTTGGAAACCTAGGTACAACTGAAGGACTAATCAAGCTGTTCGACCAGCTACAGCACAAAAATGCTGGTTATACACTATTAACAATTTAATATAGTTACATACATTCACAGGGTGGCATTTTTTCACAGAACAAGTACTTTTATTTTTGAAACTTTGAGTTGAATCATTTGGCTGCTAATACTTTTTTAATGCAGGACTTTTACTTGTAATCAAGTATTTTTTAAATAACTGTATTGCTACTTTGACATAAGTAAAGGATCTGCTGATGCATTAATGGGATAGCAGTATTTTGATAATAAATCTAGTCGAGGTGGAGATCATTTAAATTTTATTAGCTGGTTTTATGTTTAAGAATACTAATTTTACTTGCCAAATAAATACTGAGTAAAAAGAACAATAATTTCCTCTGAAATGTAAAGCAGATTAAAATGGAAATACTCAAGTGAAGTGAGAGTACAGTACTTGTGCTTAGTTACTTTCTACCACTGCCACTGGACACATCTTTGGTCCACATTTATTTTCTGTATCTTTAGCAACTACTGTAGCAGAAATACGCTTGTCCAGGCCGATCTGTGAAACAACTTTCAACCCAAACTGAAAAGGCTAAATAAAGACTGTGGCGACTCAGAGGAATACACGCATTACATAAATTGCTTGTACGATAACAGAAGCCTGAGAAAACCTTTTAGTCTCCCTCAAATAGAATATGGTTACATTATTCTCATGGCAGTGTAAACATCGTGCTCCTTGATGCCAGCTAGGGCAACAGGCAAATGTTAATATCTGAGTAATTGCTGAGTCATTGGTATATTTTCTGGGGTTAGATCATTTCTGTGGCGCTCAGCAGTGGATTGGTGGTCTTACTGATTTATATGTATTGTATTCTAATCACAAAAACAGTGGTAACTTCTGTGTTCGTGAGCTTAAGTGTTTCTAATTTTATTCATTTTCTGTTCTGTTTGCACAGTATTGACTCTGTTGTTAAAGCTACAGTAGCTTTAAGTGATACATGAAATAAGTTAAGGTCACAACCAGTGTAAAACAGAACAAACTCATGTAAATCAGATGAGCAGTTTATTTCACTCTGTTGCTTCACATTTCATGCTCACTGCAGGAGCTCAGATGAATCATGCCACAGATATTAGTCTAATGCAGAGCAGATAATGCATCAGACTTAAAATAGCTGAGACTTGTTTGCCAAATTTATCAAGTAATAGTGAACAAAGGTCTATAGAAAGGGTCGGCTCTTCTTTCAGAGGTCAATATCCTGCCCATGTCTTTGTCCTGTTATCACACTCCAGACCCCGCTGTGTGTGACGCAGGCTCATTTGGCTCAGACGCATTCATTTGTGCTTTATGGCTTGCTGATGCTTGTAATTATACTAAGCGTGCGTGATATCAGTGCAGGGTGAAATTAATTAGACTTCAGAAAAAAATATCATTATCATAATGGATTTAATTGAACAACCTTTTCTTTGAATTCAAGATTTCACATGCAAACACAAGAAACAGATCTCAGAACCTGATCACACTTTCTGACCCACGGGTGAATAATCTTTGAGACAAAAGACCAGCTTCATCTTACATCGCTGACATTGTTTGCAGTGTCCTTTTGTTCGATTATGTTTTACATCCTTCCTTCTAGTTATTAGTATTTGAAGAGTCTGTCCTTGGAGTGTTTGTGTATAATGAGGTAATATAATGAATTATGTAATGCAAATATAAAAGTAAAGCAGACCTAAGCTCTAAAGGAAAGATACAGACCGCAATGACTGTTTGCACCTGAACTAACATTGTTTCTAACCAGGTGCCAGTGCCACAATGTGTTAACTCCACTACGAGGTGATATTTTCTCCATCAAGCCCCCTGACTGCTCCCAGGGGCTTTTCATTTCCTCTTGCCTATTCGTGCCATTAGTTCTGCGTTCGCTGCAGCCTTGGTCCTCATGTCCTGGTTCTTGGCCAGGTCTATGAGGACACTGAGGATGCTGGTGGGAACATCGAGAGACAGGGCGAAGCGGGACCCCTGCTGGGCTCTCTTTGGCACCTGGGAGGCTGGGCGTGGGGCTCGTGCTCGCCTGAGCACCGTGTGATGCTCTGACCGGAGCAATGAGTTCAACACCCCACTGCGGTTTAGGATGTCAACAGCCAGCATGTCTCTCTGTGTGTCTTCATCGAGTTTGGCAAGAGCAGGGGTGCTCCTCTGACTCTGGACACACCAAGGCAACAGCAGAGCCAGGCAGAAACACACACGCACATGTCTCATGGTCAGAGCTGTCTGCAGGGAGAGAAGAACAACACATCAACCAGTGGCTCAAAATCACACACACATCTGTAAAAGTTTATTCCGTGATGGCAAGCATCCAGAATTTCCTTTTTATAATAATGTGACTGAAGAAACCAACAAAATATGGTCATTCATACTGATTTCATAACATAAATGAGGGCAGTGGTGAAAATCAAGTGAAGGTTTTAAGATGGGATTTGTGCACAGTGGGATGCAACACAACAGTAGAATAATATAAGAGTGGAACAATAACATCCAATGCCTGCAATATCCAAACCAAGACATCAACCAACATTTCAGGAGAAATAACCAGTGCATTAATAATAGATAAATGAAGTATCCAGTGTGCAGTCGCTGGTATATTGTAGACATAAAAGCATGTTTAAACACAAAATCAGTCAACATTTTTTTCAAGTTTTAAATGCCTTGCAGAAAATGATAAATTAACAATTTTTTTAGCCATTTATCCTATAAATCGTCAATTTTTGTCCAGCTTTTGAATATATCATGCAATATTTTCTGATTTATGTGCTTGGCACTATCAAGTGCCATAATCTTAATCCATACTTACTCAGTGTCACCACTGTGAAATGTTATTAACTTGGCAAAAAGGCACTTCTCCCTCCCGTGGTCTAAAGCAGGACTCTGGTGATGATCTCTTGTCTTTGACCGTCAGATATCCTGTGATACTGTACCTTCTGTCTCCCAGCTTCTTCTTCTTCTTCTTCTTCTTCTTCTTGAGCTACTGGAGGAGCAACCTGTGTGGCAGCAATCGGATGTTCAACTGGACTTCTGCCTGCTCGTCCACGACTTTGTCTTCACCCCCATCAGTCTATGTTGTGACACTGCCCTCTCCACTCTCTGTTTATCTTTTACATTTCTAGAGCCGGTCGCCCTCCCCTCATTTCATCTCATTTCCTCCACACTCACTGCCGTCTTTCTCTTTCTAAAAATAACACGATGGTGATCACAATAGTTTGCCTATAATTAATTGGACAGTTGCTTCAGTCTGCTGTCAAAGCACAACCGAAACCCACCACCTCCATTCATAAGTTAAGTTTCAGCAAGCTGCAAACACAACATACATCAGATTAACATGTTCACTTTCCTGTCATGGTGTTATGAGCTCAACTGTTGTCAGTCATTCATACAGACTGGGTGAGCATAGGGGAAACATGACATGTTAAAAACAGACACACAGTGGTAATACAAACAACATTGTCACTGAAGATGACTGATTTCATGGTATTACAGCTTGTTGTGATTATCTTTTTGGGTTCTATTGTGCTTGTGATTTCTAATGCTGTCTTATTGATTTTCTTCTGAATGGGAAAGAAGTAGAACCAGATTTAAGTGCTTAAGCCCCCTACTCTTCAGAATTACAATGCCAAATATAACAATCAACTTATTGTGCAGTTAGGAAAGTGAGTGGCAGTTACAAAGATCTGTCATTAACCAGGCACAAAAACACAGGGATCGCACCTGAATCGCACCCATTTCTGTAACCACCAGGCATTTGCAGGCCTATCTCATCTCAAACACAGAAGAAACTGTCACTGAACAAATAACAAGCTAAGTGACAGAAAAAGTGATTCTCATCTTCAGCCCAGACGATCGTCACACTCTCTCAAACATTGTTCCCATGCATGCACTGTTTGCTTTTTGTGTAGTTTTACTAACAGAGCTTGTTTAAGAAAAAAATCCCATTAACTTGTCAGCTAACAGACAAAACCACAGGATCAAAAACAAGCAGTTTACGTCACAAACTCCAAAAAAAATCTGTTCTATATGGAGGAGCAGGCCCAAATTCTACCACAGTGCTGTGACAGTGATCAAATTGTACAGGGTGCATTTAGTTGGCAACAACGGCCACTAAAATGTAGTGTCATCAGTTAGAGCTCCCAGAGACAACTGCATTTTTAAAAAATATGATGTGTTTCTTAATAATGAAGCAGAATGAAACTGAAAATTGGTTTCAGTTTTAAGGCTTGTACGACAGCCGTCTCAGCCATGTGTATACCTCTCCTTGTACCGCAACTTGAAATGCTTGCAAAGGTATGACATTTCAGACACTGTGCATTGTTGCCACCTAATGGAACATATTGTATGAGTACACAATCTGTCTATTTACAGAACACAGAGGAGCAGAAGAGGGGAGTGTTGGGGGTTACACAGAGGAGCAATGATAGAGAAAGCCCTCTGGAGAGCAACTAAGGAGGAAGAGGCTGTCAGGCTCAGGAGGGAAACTCACCAAGACAAAGCCTACCTCGTTTCCTGAGTCACCTCCAGTCCAGCCCATCAACGGATTTATCCTCATCTGACTAATGATTTGAATATTACAAGTACAGCCTGATTGTGATAGTTGGGCCCTCGGGGGCCTTCAGGATTATGAGCCGTCTGAGTTACCCTCAGATAAACAAACATGGGTCACACAAATGTCATTCAGCAGCAAATAGATGTCCTGAGTCGTACCAGTAGCATTATTGTCACAGTAACATCATGACGCAGGATAACATATGAATGTGAGATGATGTCATCTCTGTGATTCAAGATACAACATATATATCACAGCAGGTCCTGGTTTATCTCTCATGTAGCCTACTGACGTATGTTCTGTATACAATAAACTTAATGTAGGCCTATCAGGGAGCATCTCACCATCTCATCTGAGCAGTGACGTCAACCTAACCATGTTGTCCATTTAAATTCTCAATATGGTTTAATTCTACTGAAAAAAGGAAATGATCATGTAATAGCAAGAAATAGAGAGACTACAAATGGTGAAAAACAAATAGGTAACCCACAATCTAAAATTGCACCTCAAACTATTTATCACTGATTAACCCCAAATATATTCAGAAAACTGAACACAGGGAAAATGCAAGTGCGCTGCAATAAAAAAAAAAGGGCTCATCACGGTTATTTAGTGAGGCTTTGTCTTTCCTGAAACTATCCAACAGTGAATGTGAAATTCTTTGACGTGGATTTCAGCCCATGTCAATGTAGTGTCAGTGTTTAACATTCAGGAAGTCACTGACATTCATTTAACCATGTAGTGTGACTGATCATGCATTGAAGTATAGAAAACTGAATCAGCCAGGAGCAACTTAACATTAAAAAAACAGCAATGTCATTATGCTTACACTGTATTTTGTTTTCTTTTACTTGTGGTCTTGTATGTGTCAGTTTGGAGTTTAATAATTAACAAATCCTTTCCCAATTAAGCAACAACAAATAAAACCATCATTGCAGCTGAAAATGACACTTAAATGCTAAAAAAATGTGTATAAATTCAACATGAGATGTGTTGTGTACTTGATGACTACGCTGCATTCTCCTGTACAGAAAACAGAGTTCAGATCATTGTTTTACAGCATTTTATTTTCATCGGAATGAGAGCTTCTGTTATGTACAATAGAGGACAGAAACAAATGTTACAGAAATTATAAATATACTCTTGCTCCAAACTGACTGTATTCAGTACCAACTGTGATGTGTCCTGTAGATATTTTGTATTGAAGTCCGCCCTCTTTCCCCTCCCCTCTGCAAGTTGGTACCTGGGGGATGAGGACCTGTGCTGTAAAATCAAGAGGTAAATCACATGTACCATGTGCAGGCTGACTACCCCCCTCATGGCTAACTAAGTGTGATCAGTGGGCGGGATAAGAGAGGGAGGCAGGGAGGGGAAAGAGGATGGATGGCTGCCTGTGCCGTAAAGCCAACGTGTGGACAATTCTCAAGTGTTCACTCTCGCAGCGTTGACAGGAGGAAAGCAGGGTGAAATTGAGGAGGAAGATGAATAGCAAACATGGGACAATTGGAGCAACACAACGGATTTTAAAACCTGAGCCAGTACATGGCACTGCGAATTCTGTTGTAGTCGGGTAGCTGCTCAACGGGGCCTGGAAGAGAGACGGGAGAGACAGTTTAGAGAAAATCATTACAGTATGACCTCTAGCTTCGCTGTGAAAGGATTAAAACCACAGCAGAACTCACCGACAGCTGCCACAGCAGGACACTTATCGTAAATATATTTGGAGCAGACGTCACGAACCATCCCGGGGTTCACGGCCTGAGAGGAGAAATGGGGAGGAAGTCAGAACTCTTATCCTGGAGACAGACTGAAACACCTCACAATTTTAGCCAGTTTTTAAAAAGGCACTGCATCACAAAATCATTTTCTTCCTTCAACTGTACACCAGTCCAGGTCAGAAGTGTCGACTCACATCGATCCGAGCGTCCCACTCGGCCAGAGGAATACGCCGGCCGTAGTTCAGGATGTGTCTGCCGATGTCATCACAAATTGGTGTTGTTCCTAACCAACAAACAGGTATGTTAATTTGTGATTCCAATAAGCTTGTGGGTGTGTAAATGCAAGACAGACACATTATGTACCATTGAGCTGTCCAACCAGGCTGGCCTTCAGAGCGTTCTTGCCTCTGGCTACATCACTCTCTGTCACTGTGGTGCACAGGTTCATCCTGCAAGGCGGGGAGAAGATAAAACTAAATATGGGCATTGTCCTATAAACTAAACAGTGTTTCCTCTAGGATTTTTTTCAGCAGCGAGGGCAAACGCAAAATTAGCAAAAGCCAAATTATTATAAATTATTTCTTTCTCCATTTATTTAATAATTATGTAATTATGACAGTAATCACCATGTTGATACTGAACAAAAACTGAAGGTCACTACTAAGGTAAACTACTGATATGACAAAGTGATATGGTGGGAAAGACGATGTCTCACTCTGTATGAACTAAAGAAAGATTTGTGGTTGTACAGTGGTGTTACAGAGCGGAGCTTCTTCCCTCACAAACTTGTCTCTGAGAAGTGCTAACGACATGTAGAGAGCGCACAGACCGACAACAGCTAAGTTTAATTTAGGCCTGACATCAAGTTACTGAGAGTATCAACATTAATTAGTGACAGCTGATACGACGTACCTCCGGCGCCCTTTGTCATTTCAACGACCTGAAGCAATGCTCAGCACTGGCTGAGAAGAGAGGCTGCAGCTGAATGTTTTGCTAATGATTATTAGCGTCAGAACTTAGTGAACCTGTATGTCTTTTCAATCTTGTTTCTCTTCTCTCCCTCTCGTCAGGCGCAGACATCTCACCAGATTGAGTGTGTGCGTGGATGCATGGACGTGTCTCCACTTCCTGTATCCTTCACTTCATATTGACAGCCCTCCACAAAGTTGTGTAATTGCTCAATTGCTGTAATTGCTAAAGTGCTATAATACAGTTGGTGTTCTGTGTCTGTGTGAGAGTATGTGTCGTCATCACATTCATTATACAGTCATTACTGACCAAGCATTCTGGGACCAATGCATCATGTCCTCGATGTGGTTTTTATCAGTCACAAAGTAAATGCCCAGCAGGCCGGTGTCGCTGTAGGAGGAGTGGAAGGCCTGGAAGCTGTGACACAGGTTCTCCTCCACTGCCAGGCGAGCCAGACGGCTGCTCAGATGCTGCATGTGAGAGGGAAGAATAGATGCAGATATTCTACTGTTCTTAAAGATGTGCTTCATAATCAGAGTGGCATTTTATAACACTATGGTCAGGTAGTAGCTCGAAAATATTTGTGTTGTTTGGTTGAATAATTTGAGCATCAGCTAGTTGGAACTGATGGTACAGTGACAGTGTTAACAATTAAAAATATGTCAAAACTGTCCCGGAAAAATCCTAATCTCTGGATTTAGACCTAAAATAGGTTACATTCCGCACAACGTCTCATAAAACTGTGACAAGGATGGCGGAACAGCAAGTATGTTCCAATTATAGTGTTTTATCATACTTCATCAAGAACAATGGAATACAAAAGTGCATTTAAGACCTGAGTAAATTAAACAAACTTTACAACGTGATAAGCTGCTATTCCACCCACAGATGGGTGCTCCATGAGTAAACCAATTTTTCCTGCTATGCATTTTAGGTGTTGTCCCTCCCGACAGGTCCAGAGGCAGGGGTGAGACCCCTGACCCAGGTTTTGAGAGAGGACTATGATCTACCCCTCCATAATGGCCACTTAAGATATCATCAACCTCAAGTGGGCAAAGCTTAAAGGGGACCGGTGCTGAACCAATGCAAGGTTTTTCCTGCATAGAGAATTGGGAGGTGGCTGCCTCCGTCAAATTTCGTGCCGTCTCCGCCTCCCGACAAAATTCTAGTACTTGTTTTTCTCGGTAATCAGTGGATTTGACGTTTGTAACAGTAATGGAATGGGAATGGAAATGTAGTGGCGCTGTATCGTAATCCGTGCATCAGGCAAAGCCATCCGAAATTGCCAAAGAAGAATACGAATGGATTTTCTGCCTGCGGAAGGAGGCGGCGACCTGATTTTGCTGCTATTCAAACAAGTGAATATAATCTCTTTTACACCCAAGCACACCCAGCTTCTTGAAAAGTTTTCCCAAATTAACATTACATCCCATCGTGTATGCTTTTTTTTAGCAGAAATGTCTCAAATCACATTATTTTAAAAAGAGAGTTTGCTAGGAGGAGAATCGCAAGGACAAGTGAAACAGTGCAGAGTGCAGACATCATTAGTTCTTCTAATGTGGGAAAAAATGTTAATTCATGTTACTGACAAGATACGGTTAATGTGTCATGACTGAGAGTAGGCCTAGTTCTCAGCCACAAGTGGAAGGTGCTGGTGGAGGAGAGGATCAGAGCGCTAGAGAGGAGTCAAGGCGAGTCTTTAGGCGTATATTAACGATTGTATTAAAGCCGACGTTTACAAGATTTTAACATCAGTTTTTATTAATCTTTCTAGATGTTCTCAAAAGCGAGTGAGTGAGTGGCTTTGACTTGCAGTGGCTGAAGAGATAATGATAATGACAATATAAATATCGGTTAGTACCGGCCCCGTGTAATTTTCGGCCAGGAAAAACCCTGCAATGAGATGAATTTACTTCAGGAGGTGTTAGGGTTCATCAGTGTTGTCTTTCCTAACCTGCATAAACTAACACGCCTGTATTAGTACATATCACACCAACCTTTCCGCCACCGAAGGTGAGGTCATAGCTGCCGATGATGGAGTTGGCCACCATGAGAGGCACGATGTCCGGGCTGGCAGCACTGGCACCCTCCACAGCAATGGCAATGTGTGCCAGAGGCAAAGCATCATCTCGCATACTGATCTGAGGAGAGGCAGGAAAGGAACAGATCAACAAAACAAATGACCATGACAGTAAATGGAATACCCCAATCCATGCTCCAGTTCCAGTGATAGGCCAACTGTTATAAGCTTGTTATTTTAATAACCTGGTGTTCCTGATGTAATGTATTAAAATAACAGTTAAGGTTATGGTGAAAATCCCAGTAGGATAATAAAGGTAATAAACGTGACGAAACAGTCGTGAAAAAATTTAGTAACAATATCAACACATCTCACCTCGCTGCCTGTAAATCGGCATGGTGACAACAGAGGGACGGCATCGCCCTCGTACTCAAAAGACACTCCACTGAAGTGAGACTTGGCCAGAGTGACCAGCTCATCATGGTTCACACCTTAAAAAAAGGAAGCACAACGGATGAACACCAAGTCATTCCAGTGAAAGTAGAAACTCCCAGGCTACCAGAGCACCTCCTCACAGTGTGTGTTAGGAGGAAGAGGACCTACCTCCTGCAGCAGCCAGCACCATGCGAGGAGCCTTGTAGTGGCTGTTGATATAATCCACCAGGTCCTGGCGGGTCAGAGTCCTGGAAGAATTGAACAACATGAGCATCGCCATTAATTTACACAGTGGTGTAGAATAAAATATTACATGAATATTATGTGTTTTGGTAGTGGATGTGCAACTTCTGAGCCCATTCATTTTAACACTGAAGTGTTTTAACAGAAATGTGCTTTTGATGAAAACAATTCTGAATTATTCTGAGATGGTGACTAATGTGTAAATTGTACAGTGTGTATGTATGTTTGTATGAATGTGTGTGTATGTTAGAACATGCAGTTCCGCCTACCTGGCATTGCCAGAAGGTCCCAGCACACTGTGTCCCAGAGGAGTGCCCTGGAAGGCCGTGGCATGCAGCAGGTCCAGGCAAACTTCCTGCAGGTTGCCCTCAACTTCCTCTAGCTCGCGCAGCACCACGCCCCTCTGCTGCTCAAGCTCTGCCTCATTCAGCGAGCAGCTCTGCACCACCTCTGACAGCAACTCCACGGCTGGTAAACACAGATAAAAAAATGATCATTCTTAATGCCTTCATCTTCCAAACAAGAATATGTTTTATTTTACAAGGAAGCCTTGAGATCGGGTTATTGTCAAAACTAGAGAATTATTTTATTTTGCTGCTTGTACACAGGTCAAGTCACCTTTGGGGAGATCTTTGGCCAGGGTCTTCATGTAGTATGCAGTATGCTCCCGAGAGGTGTAGGCGCTCAGGTGAGCACCCATTGACTCCACCTGTTGCTCTAGGGCTGTCTGAGGGTGCTTTTTCGTCCCCTGGGAGGAGAACAGAAAGGTGAATAAAAGGAACTGTGTAATGGCAATGATTGATTAACATATAGTTCATGTAGGACAAGGTCATGAAGTTTACTAATGTTTACTAATGTTTACCTTGAAAGCCATGTGCTCCAGGAAGAAGCCTGCTCCGTTGTTCTTCTCATTCTCATAGCGACTGCCAGCACTGATCCACAGTCCAACCTGTGACAGAGAGGAGATACGTGGAGAATGGGGGACATGTTCATCTACAAACTCTCACTGATCATGTACCATTTAATTAAAATGAGATAACAACCCCTTAAATGGTTGTAAATAGACCCCTGTTGCTGCGTTCTTACGGTGCATGTGGCATGTCCAGTCTCCTCAGATGCAACCCTCAAACCATTGTCCAGGGCAGTGAGGCGGGTCTCAGGGGCTCCCACCAGGCTCTGAGCATAGCTGACTGAGGCCTGCCCACGCCTCAAAGACAGCAGGATGGGCTACAATCGTAGAGACACATAGAGGCAACAAGAGTCATTTAAAAATCCTGTTAAAATAGCAGAACTTTCTGTACACATTTAGCTCCTGGGAGAACCACTCACATGTTGTCTTGTACTACAAAATACGAAGGCTTTAGAAATGTTAGTGAAAAAAAACTTTCACCTGAGTTATAACCTGCCTTGTGCAAGTTTCAAAGTTTTTAAAATAAACTGTATCTTGCTGATAAAACAAATGATGAATGAAATGAAAGCAGTAATTGGGTAATAGGAAGCTCATGTTTGGGGTCCACTGTGAGTCAGACTACATTACTTTAAACCCACTCATGTTGATATATTCACATGAAAAGTAATAGTAGAAATATTTGGCACAGGACAGCACTTAACCTTAAGGCTGGCAGCTGACATTGACACCACCACCACCTATATATCTACCAAATGAAATAACTAATGATAGACCATACCTGAAGACAATATCAGTATATATTCTACCTGTTTCTATACGGCATGTAAAAAAGTCTATTTTAGGTCCATCAACTTGCACTATAAGGTAAAGGGACGGCATTATGGAGCTATTTTCATTAACAGGTGATATTTTCAAGGTTCCGAATAATTTATGAGAAAAATCTAAGGTGATATTGAATGTTTATTTCAAATTTCAAGAACACGTTGTGATTATTACAAAACCCCAAAAAACTGTCCAAGAAAATGTAAAAAGCAGGCGTTGCTCAGCCCAGTGTCAAACATCATCTAGTATTAGTGTCACTGTCCAGCTTTCACGTTACTTTCCCACTTGCTATAAAGTACTTCTTCACCAATCAAACATTTTGACAATCTATAAGAGTACAGACTGTCATTGTCAGCATCTGTCATTCCAAAGTCACCGTGCTAAAGCCGTTAGCCAGGAAGCTTGGCTGTGGGGGGGCAAGTGAGGACAAGTCACAAAAGTTACAGCTGCTGACCTTGTGAATGAACAAATACGACTGAAACGATGACAGGCTGATCTCAATAACACACATAAAGTGGACGGTTCACATAAAGTGATTGTAACAACAGGTTCTGCCTCATTTGTCAGGTGACCTTGCATTTACTGCTAGCTAGCTAGTGCTAACCGGTTAGCTAGCCCCTTTCCGTTTTGTACTGCGGACAACTCAGCTAGCAGTTAGCGAGCGTTGAGCCGCTTTCAATTCCATACTAAACAAAACTTTTCTTCGTAGCCTTTTAAATCTATACTTACACTGCGGGATTTGGCAAGGGCTCGACCCACGGTGCTCCCAACTCGGCACACGGACGCCGCCATTTTTCAGTGGTTACAGAAAGCAGGGAGAGTCTCTTCTTCGCCGTCCGGTGAAAATGTTCATCCCCTCTTCACTTGTGTATTATCGCCACCAGCTGTTCATTACGCGTTGTTGAGGGAGAGGTTTGTGCTTTTTGTTGAGGAGTTTGCTCCCATTGGAGTAATTATTCAGATAAACAATATATGCAGTTCAATATTATATATTCTCATGTAATATAATGGGTTCTTGTGTCTTTCCCTCCTGTTTGTTGGGTTATGGAGCTTGGCAATGTTTTCTTCAACTTCATCATTTTTGCAATGTCCTGCATCAACATGCACTTTTCTGTTCTTCTTGCTATATGATAGAAAAAAAAATCTTATTTCCTTTACGTGATGGGATACTTCATTTGAACCCAGTCATGCTCCCAATGCATATTCTTGAAGTGTATCTTGCTGATGAAATAAGTTGAACGAAGTCCTCAGGTAATGGGAGGCCCATTGGGGTCTACTGTAAATCAGACTATATGTCTTTAAACTCACTCTTGTTGATCCATTCATATGCAAAACAAGAGTAGAAATATTTGGCACAGGGTAGCACCTAACCTAAGGCTTGCATTTGACATTGACACCACCTCACTTCTGCATTCATGACCCACAAACTCTGCTCTCATCATTTCTACCTGTGCATTATACTAAATCAAATGACTGCTGGACAGACTCACATATAAACATGTTGGGTTTTCCTCATGTCTCTAGTGCTTGAACCACAATGCCATGTCATTATTACTTCCACTCTGATATAATCACTAAAACTTCAGTTATTTGGTGTTTACACATATCTAATTTCTTGCTGCATTTGACTGGCTCTTCTCTGTATCTCAGTTGAGATAAGTCAGTCCTCTTATTTCTACAACAGACAGTCCGAAACCTGACATTACTACCATGGTGATTTACACTACAGTGTAAACAATGTCAGTGTATAAATACTGAAAGCTCCTTAAGAAAAGACATCAGTTTTTTTTTTACTTTTAAAAAAAATTTTTTTTACAACAATTCTCCAAGGCACCCATGATGAATTCAGCATCATGGGTGCTTTAGAGAATGACTGTAATAAAGGGTTGGTCCACCCCCAGTCAAACCTACTGTCTCACTTGCTCCATGCCACACAGTTAGTTTTTGACTCCACCAAAGTACATTGGAGGTGAATGGAGTTTTGTCTGTGATACTCACAGCACTGAAAGTGGCATTTAAGAAATTCAACAGCAACAGTTTCCCTCTTAACCTGGGAAATCCACACTTTGCCATGAACAAACAATGGAACTACTTTATATGAGAGAAATCGTCCCTATATAAATTGTTGACCAAATGATGCTGCAGTTATAAACTCCATTACTACTTGTCTTCTAGCAATAAAATACATGGATGAGCAATAATTTCTCAAAATTAAATGAGGACAAAACTGAAATCCTACCAGTCGCCCCTAAAACAAAAAGAGAAATGCTGTTCAATAATCTGGGGAAATTAACTCCCTGGATTAAAACTGAAGTTACAAATTTTTGTGTTATTTTAGACTGAGATTTAAGATTGAAATCCTACATCAACAAGGTGATGAAAACATATTTTTTTCAAGTCCAGCATTCATAAATCAAAAGCTGCTGAAAGACTGATTCATGCCTTGATTACTGTAATGCACTTTTTACTGACCTCCCGAAAGAAAACCCCCCCTAAAAACACTGAGAGACTTCTGCTCATTCAAAACTCTGCAGCTCAACTATTATCCAGAACCAAGAGGAGAAAACACATTAGTCCAGTTTTAGCTGCCCTGCACTGGCTTCCTGTTACATTTAGAGGTTGATTTGAGGTCCTCCTCCTTATATATATTGCTAACTCATTGATTAACTATATACCTCCAAGAGCACTGCAATCTATCTCATCTACTACTAGTTTATTAAAGGTTCCCAGTAACAGTCGTAGGAAAATTGGTGATGCAGCCTTGTCAATTACAGCCCAAACCGATGGAACACACTACCTATAGATATCAGAGAAGTCAGCTCGCTAGGTATTTTTGAAAGAAAGCAAAAACCTTCTCTCTTCACTTTAGCCTTTAACCAGATTTGAAATTTTTCACTTTGCTCCACACATACTGTACACACTGCAGCACTGTTATTGACAACCTGTTCTGTGGATTATCCAAAATAACAAGGACAGTGTTGCATTAAAGTGAATTATTCAGTCAAAAAAATTGTAAACAAAAGCAGTGAAAGAAAAACAAGACATGAAAATCTTGTTAAAGTGTTAATTTATTATGAGGTAGGCGAAAAACCCTGCAAAACAAAGGAGCACGTGCATTAATTACCTTCTCATGAAAGCTTTTTTAGGCACTCAAGGTGCTGGTGGCTGCTTGCTGGGACTGTTTTGAAAGGGTCATTTCCAAAGGCAAAGACGGACCTTGGTGCTTCTCTGTGGTATAGGGTTGGACTTTGTCTGAGCAAACTTTTGATACTTCTGGTCCCCTCGTACACAAAAATACAGAGTGAGACTGGTCACTAATGGGCAGGTGGATGGACTTGTTTACAGTCATTGGCAGGTGAAGTGTGACGGTTTCAGTAGGGATGGGCACAGGTGGCTCAGGAGGAAGAGGAGGAGGTGGTAAAACCCTACTGCTGGTGTTTCTGAGCTGAGTCTCTGTACTGTTCAGCAGCATCTTAGACAGAGGCTTTACTTTTTCTTCTACAGGCTTCTTCTCCTTGACAGGACCATGACGTTTTGATGCTGAAAGGTTGGAGGGCCTCAGTGGAGGAAGAGGGCAAGGGCTCTGGATCTTGAAGCCCTCAACAAGTAGGTTGAGTCCGACATACTGTGGCACTTCTACTGCTGCCTAGAGACCAGAGGTGACATCTAAAGTACTGTATGCCACCCTCACGATTTGATCCACTTAAATGTACACTATAACCTGAAGAGGAGGGAACACTCTTCCTTACCTGCCTATATATGAGCTGAAAGTCTCCCGTGTTTGCGGTGCGGTCAACTCTCCGGTCCAGGATGACTCGTAATGTGTCCTGCTGAACAGCACTACAGAGTCGGGCTGTGATACGGGTGGAGGGAGCCATTGTGGGACTAGCATTGATTTCGATCAGCCATGGACGCAGGTCACGTCCTGAGTAACACAAACCAAAATATCTAACTGATGATGGTTTTTCTTTTTTCAGAGTAAAGTTACATAGAAAATATAATTTGAATTAGATTTGAATTTTGTGTTTATTCTATTAGCACATATCATTTTGCAGCTCCTGAAAAACTATTTTAAAATATGAAATACTGTGTGTTGAAGCATACAGTATAACATACTGTAAAATGTAGCGTGCCATTGACAGTGAGCTCATTCTACCTAACATGAAGTCAGCGCCGTAGAGCTCAAAGGTGTTTTTGCGTGACTCCATCAGATCCTGTGTTGTCTGTAATGCGTGTATGATAGCCTTCTTCATCCCCGGGACTACCACAGCCTGCCACTGAGCTTCCCGGCCCTGGCTGGACAGAAAGGTCCTGAACTGGTCATCTGACCACATGTTGTCTGCTGGGATGCCTCGATGTCGTTGTTTGGAAGGCCTCAGGTGCTTCTGGATGGAGTTATTGCACAGGTGGACAGAGCTGAGACGACAGGGGACAGAGAAATCAAGATTAGGTAAGAAAATGAGAGAATATGGGTGGCAGCTAATTGACAGAGGGTTAGAAGACGTGATATGGTGACAAGTGCAGATATTCAGAAATCAGATTATGATTTTCAAAATCAAATATGGAGGTTGTGAAGATATTATCATTACTAAAATATCAGGTGAGTAGGAAAACTGCTTTTAGAAGCTATCAAACTGTTTAATTTCAATATCTGATTAAAGTGGTATATGTCTAATTTTTGCTTATTATTTGTAACAACTATGATAGCTTCTTATTCTTCTAGGCTGTCCTCCACAGCCCATTAAATTATATTCTTAGATAAATACCATTAAAGCCCAAATAAACTTAAAATTGCTCTTCTTTTATGTTGTAAATTCTTTTCAGAAGAAACCTAAATCTATTTTAATAGAGTACTCATGTGTCCATGCATACCCTTAAAGAGTTGTTGGTCTAAGTAATCGTGTCTCCTGCCCATACTGGCTGTGGAGAGATTCCTTACTCATTCCTTGGATTACAAATCCAGTGTAAAAGGGGATAATCCTTGTTCTGTTCAAATATGCATTTCAGTGAAAACTAATATGAAGCTTCTTCAGCCTGAGTTAGTCAAATCACATATCTGTGAATCTCCCAGATTTAATCTTTACAATAAAGTAACAAAAACTCTGTAGCAACAGAAAGAGGGGATTTTTTTTTTTTTTTACAAAATAACATTGGCAGACACTCGATTTGTTTAATTCAGACTGCAGAAGCCTCATGCTATATGTTAGCTTTTGCTGACTTTTTACATGTGTTCTTTCATGGAACAAGAACTGCTGATTTTATCCTCTATCACTTCTATTGGAATGTAATTAGAAAGGGATCTCTTCACAACCAGTACAGACATGAGAAATGATAACAGCCACTCTGTGTACAGACTTGAATAAATGTAAGTGTATATAACAACATAGCCCCAAATCTGTTAATTACTAATAGTTGTTGCCTTTTGCCACTGTATTTGTGTTGCTGCACCACATGAAAATAAGAAACGCTGGACAGTTTTTCTTTTGTGAAGCCCACCTGGATATTTGCTTATGATTTTCATGTAACCACAATACCCCGAATTGCAGCCTAGTTAGAGCAACTTAATCCCTCCTCACATGACTCATATAACCTTTCACTTTTAACAGTCACTTGCACAGGAAAATAGCTTAAACCTCACACGTAGGTGTTTTTTTCAACAGAACATTAGATCAATCGTTCAGCCCAGGTGGCAGGATAAACATTCTTCTTAATAGGCGGGGAAGCAGCTTGCAGTTTTAGAACTGATTTAAAGTCTGCTTGGCAGATGTCAAAAACACCAAATACACACAAATTTAAATATACCCAGAGGAGATACCTAACAGCCGTTTTCAGGTCATGCATGCACATAAAATTAGATCTCCCGCCAAAATATATAGCTTAGTCACAGCAAAATCGTAACCTATCTAGCCTTTTTTTGTCTCTCACTTCTCCTTTTTTTATTTCAATGTTCGTTTGGTTTCACATCCCTTTATCAGTATGACTGTCTTACCTGTCCAGTTTATCTAGTGAGTAAGGCTGCGTAGAAAAACGCAAATAGCACTTTTTATAGAACCACACAGTCAGAGGGTTCCAGTCGGTGACCAGAAACCACTGGCGCATGTCAAACTTGGTGCCATGGACCAGCAAGGGGCGTTCCAGGTACTTCTGCACCACCCACTTGCTTTCCTTGATTAGGGTTGGATTAACCTTCACCAGCCTGAGGATCTCATCCAGACGTTTGACACATTTGATACCTAGAAGGCAGACGAAACAGGTCAGCCAGGACTTTGTTAGATATTATGTGAACTGTCTTTTGGTGTCTGACTTCTCACCTCTACCCCTGGACTTTGCTCCAGGTTTGATGATCCAGATGTTGTGTATGCCATCTATGTCCAGCTGTGGCCTGACCTCCCCCAGCCTCTGCAGCATGGCTTCGCAGCATTTGACAAAATGATCACTGTTCTCTACCTCTGCTCCACCACTGAGCGAGGAAGTAGAGAGAGTAATAGCTTAGTGAGATGCTGAAGAGCACTTTGGTTTTATCTCCGTCACACACATACATGGTACTCACTGAACAACAAGGTAATAACTGTCAATAAACTGCTCCCATTCCTCATTTGTCAGTGTTTGTGGTGTTCCCAAGCTCATGTCTATGTCGTTGTGCTCCATAATGTCCAGGAACTCCTGACATACTTTGAGCGCGCTGTCAATCATTTGGGAAAGGACCATGGGTCTAAATTGCCGTTTGTTGCGTCTGCTCTTATCTGAAGGTGGAGAAACAAAATCATGTCGCTCTTTATTTAGATACCTTGAGAAAGTACACTGCGTACTCTTGTGAGAAATGGTCATACCCCGAACAGGCCAAATGTTGCAGCTCATTCCCTCTTCTGAAACACCCTGTTCCCTCTCCACAATGTACTTCAAAAGACTGGTGCAGGCTGTTCTCCTGTAGTCTTCTACAGAGAGGACAGAGACAGAGAGCTAAGCAGTGCCAGAAATAAGGGAGAAGCTGCTTAAGTGAAAGGATCTGACCAATGAAAGCCTGCTTCTCGTCCTGGGCTCCTAGTCTATAACAGCGAGGGAAGAAGGTGTCTGGGTCAGCTGAGTCAAACCAGTGCAGGTTGCTTAGGTTCACACACAACCCGACCTGTCGGAGGAACAAGGAGTAATGATGGTGGATGTGACACTGAACAGTTGTTTTTTGCTGTAAGAAATGGTAATAGCATATAAATGTACCTTGGTGGTGAAGCTGCCGGCCTTTGTGAAATGGTTGGTAATCTGTTCTTTCCGCAAGCTGTTGGTGTCAATGGCATCTCTACGGTTTGTCCAATAAAAATAAACCATTGCATTTCGCACCAGGCGAGACTATGGAATGAGAAGAGGGAAAGTATGAGAGCTAAAATGAAATCTGGGAAACTGTTTAATTTTGCTATCACAAACCTTAAATTTCAAGCATTATGAGCACTGTAATCAAGGTTAGCACTTAGCCTCATATTAGCCTACATGCCTACCATGAGATCATATACTTCATCTGGATCCTGATATTTTCTGACATCGTCTGAGAAGAAGGGACAATGTTAATCAATGAAGAAAAATAAACATATTCAGAGGAAAAAAGACATATGATTTCTGAAACAGTCAAACTTTGGTCTAGCTCACTGGCATCATTGTCGCTGTCACCAGCATCATTAGGGCTGGCTCTGCTGTCACCACGCTGTGCATGTTGGTTGGGGCGGTGCGTGCGCTGCTCAACCCAGCCTCTGGCCCTCAGTGCCTCCCTGATGACAGGGTAATGGCCCTGGACAGAGAATACCCTATGCATCTGAGAAGAATAAAAGCAGATGCCACAACAATGGATAACTTCATGGAACAATCAGAAATGTATGGGACCACAAATGTTTTGTGTTCATCCAGTCATGCTAATTGACCTTGACAGCTTTTTCCGCAAGGGCCTTGGCTGTCTTCAGTTTCACCGAGTCGATAACAGGCAAGCTGACAAAACTGTGGCGAACTTTGCCCTCAGGAGTTGCAGCTGACATACACACACATAAAGTAAATGAAAATATACTGTCTGTTCTAATGCTTATTAATGATGATATTGTTCATGTTGTTCATGTAGCTCTATACCAAGAGAATGAGTAACCTCATTAAGCATGTTGGTTATTGACTTGCAGGATATACCTACTTGTTTGCAGGCTTTTGGCTTCATCTTGGTTGCGTTTCTGGACCACAGCTGTGACTTTCTGATCCTTGGATGGGCCTCCAAATCCTCCTGCAGCAATAGCAACATCAGGATTGTTGTCATAAATACAATATATTAGTACAATGGCTCATGTAAATAAGAAAGAATTGTTGTAAGCTTGGCATCACATTCATAACCTTCTTCAGTGAGCAGTTAAGTGCATGAAGGAGGAGAGGCAGGAGAACATTCACAAACATCCGAATAAAGTTTCTTCAAACATAGCATTTGCTGAAATATATCTACTACAAATAATAGTCCACAAATTGGCTCATTAATAAGAACTACAGCTAAATGCATAAAACATAAACCAAATATATGTATACATGATATGCACCCTGTGGTAATCACAAAGACAATGTAACTAAATCTTAAGACTTGACATATTCAGCTCAGAGCCAAAAAGAGCAAAGTCATGAAACTTTAATGTATGGCTTCTGAGTTCAAACATTTGGCCACCTGTCCTGAGTGTGACTTCATGATTAATTCAGCATCTGTGATCTATAAGCCAACTCTATGAATACAAAAGCCAACTCACACAGTAGTGACCTTTTACATTTCAGCTCATAAATGCATCCACCAGCAGCAAGTCACAACAAAGGCTCAATTCATAATTTTTTTTGACAACATGAAGTTGTAAAAAAAAGAGTTTGACAAATAAGTGAGCATTTAGTGGGTTTCTCATCTGGTTAGAACTGAAAACATAGACCAGTGTTACCTATACAAGAACGTCCAATGAATTTAGGAGTTGTAGATGATTCCAATCCTGGGTTATGAATCATTGTGAGGGGGCCACCTTTTGATTAACATTTGAAGAAAAAAATAAATTTTTGTGATTTTCAGCATTATTTGTTTGGTCCTTGAGATGTTCAGACAGGGACAATGTTTTCTTTGTTGCTTTCTGTCTCTCACCACGGTCTGGGCATGGTGTGCAGCATTCATCAGTAACCTGGTGTCTTTCCCGGCACAGTTGGACAGACTTTCTGACACCAGTGGCCTCCATACTAGCATCAGCTCTTATTCTTCAGGGGAACCTTTCCTTTTGCCCTGCTTCAAGGTTTGGTCAGACACAAGCCACTGTAGAGGACACAGTAGCATTTATGGGGAAACAATCATATAGGATAAAAGTGTGCACAAATGTTACACAAATGTATCCATAAATAGCAATTAAAACTCTGTAAACAGCTTCAGGCGTCTCTCTCCAAGTGCAGTGGACTATAAAGTAGGTCAAGTTGGTGTGCAGGAGACAGCTTGGCTACACCTGTCAGGTTTGTGCCCAACACTCCAGGCAGGGTGTGATACTCTGTCTGATTTCCTTTTGTTACCTGCTGAGCCCTGTTACCTCAACAACATAAATTTTCACTAGAAATCATACAAAATCGTATCTTCTATTTCCCAATAACTCACATTAGCACGGCACACATACATTTTTTTTATCAATAATATTTTTTCTATAAGGCCACCACAAGTTACAGGTCACTTTTCTAACAGGTTAACTAGCATCACTGACTCTTCAAAACAAACCACTGCCACAGTGTTTTTAGTTAACTGGCAGAGTAGCCAACAGCACCTAACGGTCTCATCTACTGTAACATTATACATTACAGTAAATCTACCCCATTTTAAGCAGATCTTTTAGATTATGGATTAGTGTGTGTTCCCCTTACCTGCTGAAGCCCAGAGGTGTGTTGCCGGTTGAGTTTCACCAGAGGAATGTACGGTGGCCCCACTCTCGACCTGTTTAGAGTTGCCATGGCAACCTCAGGGTAGCTCCCGATGCTAACACTAAGAGATTGTTTTCAAGGTTTGTGTAGATACCAAGGTTATAGTATATAAAATTTTATACATGATTTATCATTACCATACATATTAAGCAGACTTTTTATCTTTATCCTGAGGAGTGTGTCTGAGGAAATATTCGACTCCCTTTTTTAAGTTTATCACGTTATTTTGTGGAATACGTGAGTTGCTGGGTATTCTGCATAAGATGTTTTTTTTTAATTAGATTGTTTTGACTAAATTCTGGTGGGCCACTGAATTATATTTTTGAATGTGGGATTTTAACTGTAAATTGTGGTATTGATATTTTCACTGAGGCATAAAATATCTAAATACGTACCTCTCATTTGAAAATGTTATTTTCATTTTATGTTTTTTGATTTCCCTCAGCTCTGTCGCCATCTTGGCTCAGAACGCACACGCGGGGGGGGGGGGGGGGGGGTCTGCTTACGTCACGGGGTCACGTGTTGAGCTCCTCTGGCTCTGCCCAGGCAAATCCCAGCTCAACAGTCAAAACACACGTAACTCAACATATACATATGCACATAGAACATACGTACACATAATAGCGCACCTTCACGATATAGATGTCACAGCACTCGAAAACAGGTAACCCTAGCAATGTTTTAAACGATGCCTTTGCAGCCAGCGAAGAAATAACGTTTGTTTCTTACTTTAAGCTAACATGCTAAATCTGTAAAACTTCGTTTAGCTAACCTCTGCTGAACCCTTTTGTCAGGTGTCTGAAAAGTTACGTTTAAGTCGTAAAATGTGCGGAAGAACAGCTTGTACCCTTGCTCCTAACGAGGTGAGCCGAGCCTGCACCTACAGAGACCGAACAGGGCAGCGGAGACAGCCCCGCTGGAGGGATGGCGATGCGGACAAGTACCGGCCCTCTTACAACAAGAGCCCCCAGTCAATGAGTCCTGTCTTGCTGTCGCAGAGGCATTTCGATGAGGTAAGAAGAACTGGATCTTCCCGTGTATGAGTGATATTCATAAACTGACACTAAAGAGACAGACATTATGTGTTATGTATTTAATTTCACACTGTTACGTCCAGAGACACATCTGAAAAAACTTTTGTAGAAATAAGAGATACTAATGGATATTATCAACCTGTAAAGGCACCCAGAAATATTCTGTTTTCACAGTGAACAGTGAAAAATTATGTTAATTTTGTTAATTCTCTTTCAGTAAACTTCAATACGGACATATAACAATATACAGTACTATTTGGTACAACAACACCACAGCTAAAATAATTAACCACAGACATATGGAACATGGTTTGGATTGCATTATATAGTGTAGATGCTTATGTTATTGTGTCCACTCCTTGTATGTGTCCTCAGAATGCTCCTGTGGATGAGTGTGTGTTGGCCTCGATGCGTTGGGGTCTTGTACCTGCTTGGTTTAAGGAGAATGATCCAAGCAAGATGCACTACAGCACCAACAACTGCCGCAGTGAGAATATTTTGGAGAAGAAATCATACAAGGTGCGCACAGGTTGAGACACTGCAGGGTGACAATCTGCTTACCTCTTATCAGCATGCATTATGTATTGTGGTCTCTGATCACTCTATTTTCTCCCCAAAGTATCCCCTGACAAAAGGACAGCGCTGCGTTATCCTGGCTGATGGTTTTTATGAGTGGAGGAGGCAGGAGAAAAACAAGCAGCCTTTCTTCATCTACTTCCCGCAGACTAAAGGATCCAGTCAGCAGAAAACAGAGGATCATGATGACCCCACGACCTCAGCTCGCAATAAGGTAAATTCAGAGACGGCGTGCCCTGCAGAGGAGGCCTCCCTTGACTTGACAGAGGTTCATACTGAGTTTTCTATAACAATATCATCATTTCATTCAGAACAAAACTAGAGAGAATGCAGCTATGGCGGAAATTACCATGGCTGAAAATTTCCTGTGTAGGAGAGGAGCCCAGGCAAAAATGTGCATGTGTCCACCAGGTGTGCCTTTAGCATTAAAAATCTTATGCAATATACCAGTGCCTGGTTTCATTTTAATGTCAGTGTCAGGTTGTTGACTGGAAAATCATAAAATGACAATTTTGTTACCAGCAGTATTTTCACAAAATCTGCTAACTTTTACCATTGAACATTAATATGACTCTTTTGCTCTTTGCGGTGTGTTGGCCAGGAAGGTGAAGCACCAGGTGAATGGACTGGATGGAGGTTGCTGACTATGGCTGGAGTGTTTGACTGTTGGACACCTCCAGACGGTGGAGAGCCCCTTTACACTTACAGTGTAATCACTGTGAATGCTTCCCAAAACCTGCAAGACATCCATAATAGGTAAGTTCAATTGATGGGAAAACACACTGATTTCATTTGTGTGTGAAATCATAACTTTTTGTGCTTGTGTTTTTTTTAGGATGCCAGCAGTCCTGGATGGAGAGGAAGAAGTGAGAAGATGGCTTGACTTTGGGGAGGTGAAGTCTCTAGATGCCCTGAAACTGCTCCAGTCTAAAAACATTTTGACTTTTCATCCTGTTTCTTCACTCGTCAACAACTCACGCAACAATTCTCCAGAGTGCCTTCAGCCAGTGGATCTTGGCAGTAAAAAGGTATTAGATTAACTGTGTTTTTTTGTTTTTCTTCACTCATTCTGGTTGGAACATCTAGCTCCACAGTTGTTTGGCAAGTAGAAATGTTGCAGCTGACAAATCTGATACTTGACCCCTAGGAGCCCAAGCCCACAGCCAGCAGTAAGAAGATGATGAACTGGCTGACGAGCAGCTCACCTTCAAAGAGGAAAGAGTCCAACCCATGCAAGAGTAAAGAAGAGCAAGAAATCAAGGCAGAGACTAAGCGCAAGTCTACAGGAGCTCTTCAGCAGTGGCTTCAGGTAGCCAATAAGAAACAAAGAACCAAGTGAAGATATGAATATATGGACTTAAAACTAGTTTTGAAAACCATTTAGGCCTTATTTTTTCCTACATAACTGTTTTTATTGACATGAGACAAACACTGTATGTTCATGTTTTTGATTGCATTAGTAAATGTCTGAAATGTAATAGAAATATTTCTCACAGATACGACGTAATACTTCCAGATGTCATTAATAAATGTCAGAAATAAACACAGTATGCTTTATTCAAGATTTTTATTACCCTTATTACTTGAAACGCAGACATTTTGAAACAATGTAGATGCTATGCATTTATCATATTAATAATATAATAATGATGAATGCCAATACTCCCACCCCCCACATTTTTTTTTCTCTTTTCAAAGTTACAGTATGTATGCTATCTTGTAATCTATAATGCATTTCAAAGATTTAACATAATACGAACAGACAGTTAAAAATCTGATCGATTAAAAGAAATGTCAAGCACTTAAACTGTTTGCCAACACGAGCAACTGGCAGTCAGATATGGAGATTTACAACACAACTTTTTGCCTTCCCCACACAATGATTGAGAGGTTTGCAAATGCCTTGCAATAGTTGACAGTAAAAAGAAATGTACTAGCTAATAGTACTCGGTTCTGAGTGATATTTATACTTGAGAAAATCCCATGTCAACTGTTGTACCAAGAGTAATGGAATACAAGACAAGCCTCCATTTCTCCAATATAGGAACAGGAATCAATATGCTAGGGACAGCACTTATATCAAGGAGCTGAGTCTGGATTCATATGATGTCCTCAACCTGAGCTACAACTGCATTTATTGTGGCTCCAAAATGAGATGTCTGAGCAAGTTGTTATTTTTCCAAAAACAAAAAAAACAAAAAATCTGTACACTCTCTGGTGGCCTTTTCATTGAAATGGGTTTTCAGTTCTATGCCAATTAAGGAGAACCAGCAGGCAGCATATTAATGTGATCCACACATGCACCTTCACACATTCTGATCCTTCACTATTTAACCTCTGACTCCCTGTTTATGTATCAGAATTTATTTTTAAGGTTGCATGAGGTAAAGGGAAACCAGGGTACAAGTTTACAAATTTAAGCTCAACACAAAGTAGTAAAATGGGGGAGCAGTGTTTCCTCTTTTCATGCAGCAGTGGCGGGCTGTGACAGAAAGAAAACAACCACCACTGCTTAAGAAACTGATTAAAAAAAAAAAAGAAAAAGTTTGTCCAACTTTACTCAAACACAAACATGTATAGAGATAATGCTTTGATTTACCACTTAAAGTATCCAAATAAAAGCAAAACTGGGTGTGAAAGCAGCGATTATACATGAAACCGAAAATGAGATAAGCCCAAACCACCACCGCTATGAAAAAGTACATGGAGAAACACTGGGAAGTAATAAGCATCATACAAGTAAATGCCATGTTTCCTTCAGGTGTTCTTTGGGCTAGCAGACTCATATTTTATAGAAAATGTGTGTGTTTTGTATACATAAAGAGGTGAGCGCAGCATGTTTGTGTGTGTAGTAGTATACTCTATGAGTGGGGTGCTGCTTGTTTATTGGGCATCAGGGATTAACACAGTGGGCCATGGGAAAGGGGTTTTAGGGATATATAGACAAGGCAAGACAGGATTGTGTCCCCCCCACCCCCCGTTCCCCCCGGATGATCCTCAGAGTCCTCAGCAGCTGCAGGTCTCTGCAGGAACGAGCTTGGCTCGCTCGTTCCTGTCCAGTTTTATCGGCTCAGGGAACTCGTTGTACAACTCCACTTCAGTCTCCTGAAATCAGACAATATAGTTGAGTGAGTGCCTGACTCAGCACCGCCCAGCTTCCATGACAACAGATGTTAAAAAATGTTATTTCTCAACACTAAGGAGAATTGGTCAGACTGCCTGTCATTTTCTTGTTGGCCCCCTGTTACCTGTTTAAGAGCGTTGCGTGCAATAGTCTGGAAGGCCTGCTCCACATTGATTGCCTCCTTGGCGCTGGTTTCGAAATATGGGATGTTGTTCTTGCTCTGACACCAAGCCTGTGCTCGCTTGGTTGTTACCTGGAACACAAAAGAGCTGACGTTACACTTAGAAACATGAGACAGATGAGAATAGGTGTTTTAAATCTAGCTAATTTTAGAATTGTTTCATTATAAAATCTAAACTAATTTTTTAAAGCCTGAAGAATTGCTTACAAAAACCATACATTTCCAAGAAAAATCAAATGGTGCAAATAAACGTAAAACTGATCATCCGGACCCACCTGTCTGTTCTCCAAGTCAATCTTGTTTCCCAGCACCACAAAGGGGAAATTCTCAGGGTCTCGAGGGCTGGCCTGGATCAAGAACTCGTCCCTCCAGCTGTCTAGAGTCTTGAAGGTGTTGGGTGCTGTCACATCAAACACCAGGACGCAGCAGTCTGCTCCACGATAGAACGCAACACCTAAGGACTGGAATCTCTCCTGACCTGCTGTGTCCCAAATCTAAGATGCAAATAGAGAAAGAGACAGATTGGAGAAAAGTAAGCAGTAAGGAAGACATGCTACGTTTACATGCACAAAATAATCTAATCACCTTTGACTTCAGTGCTTACATGCCTCACATTAACCACATTTTCCTCATTAACCACGTTTACACCACTTGATTTGGAGCCTGAAGTTATGTGTGTGGAGTGAACAGTTAATTTACCACTGGGTGAGTTTTGTTGCATTTTTTATATCATTTCTTATCTGACATCACTGGTAATGGTGCTGTTTTCAGGAAGAATAGAAAAACAACCCATTTTAGCAGCCACTCATTCTGTCATCTTAGTGCTCTATGTGTACAGTAAAAAAAACTCTATTTGTAAGCCAAAGTAATACTATAAAGACTGATGACTTATCCAGATCAGTTAATCAACATACACTTCACTGATTTTGACCTTCACTCAACTTCTCCAGCATTTACATGATTACAGTATGAATGTAAATGCATTGACAGACTTGCTATCCTCCATACCTCTGATTGAGTTAAATACATCTGTGATTACATAACGACTGAGGTTATGAAAATATACATCTTTTTTAGGTATCACACAATTTTATTATCCTCTCTTTGCACAGTGTGAATGTTTTAGATAAGAATAACAATATAATAGTGTTGAGAGAATTGTTTCCTCAGTACCTGCATTGTGACAAGTCTGTCATCAACCATGACTTCTTTTGTCAGGAAATCTGCACCTATTGTGGCTTTGTACTGGTTACTGAACTTCTTATTCACATACTGGTTCATCAATGAGGTCTTCCCAACTCTAAAAGAAAAAAAAAAATCACAAGACAATATTCAGAATATTCACTGGGCAGAAACAAGCGAAACAGAAAATGTCACTGTGATGAATTGATTGGTGACGCCCAGCAAAGGTTCCTGGCTTGCTGTATTAGAGTAAGCATATTACTATCAGACAAGATTCAATACCCTAACTAAGGTATCTTCTTTAAAATGAGCAACCAGGCATCACTTCTTGTTATCTCACCCATTTAGCTTTGATCACTCACCCAGAGTCTCCAAGGATGATAACTTTGAGTAGTACTTTCTTCCTTGACGTCATTGTGCCACAGCTGGAAAACAAAAAAACGTAGATTAGAAGGGATACAAAAACTCCTGATAGAAGCACACTAACGCTGGAATTGCTCAAAGAAGATGGGAACAGGTAAAGCCTTGCCCTGATTTTGACTCTTTTGATATGGATCAACAGCTGTCACTGACAGATGATGAGGTCTGTGAGCATCTCAAAATACACTCCAAATAAATGGGCAAATTTTGGGAATATGCCAATTCTGCAATTTTAAAAGTCTCCTTAACTTCTAAAACAAAAAAAAAAAATACAGTAACTGGGTTTTAACAATATGCTGCATTGCATTGTACCATGACACACTAAATACAATTCTTGAGGCAAACAATGCATGACTTTATTTTTCAAAATATGTGGAACAATGCATCGCTGGGGCTGCTGAACTAATATGGCGTCTGCTATTTTTGCCACACCAGCTGGTTGCTTTGTTTTACTGTAAAGCACTGATTTGGTGATATTCATGCTTCTGACATAGTTGAAACTATATTCTTTCATTACCAAGTTGCAGTTCTTGTAGATCTATAAAGATGAACAACAGTAGATTATAAAATGGAACACACACCAACTTATTCTATAACATACAGAATTGACCCGTGGATTGTGTTAATGATTACAAATCTATATGGTAATGCATCATGATGATTTACCCTCTGAGATCTGTATTTGTCCTATCAAACAGGCAGGGGTTGCACTTTAATCATTTACATAGACTTACAGATTTTTAGTAAAACTACAAATAAACAGCTGCAACATCTTATTTGTTAAATGTGGAATACTGGATGCTCTCATTATAGACCTTAGCTATCCTCAACTCTTCCTCTGCAAATTTAATATCTACTTCCCCCACTTGACTAATTCTAAGTCCTTAATATAAAATATCCCTAATAAATATCTAAAAATTAAGCCCCCCCCCCAACTTTTCGATTGTGTTTTCACAGAATGCCATGCAGAAATGTGTCTTTGCTCATCAATGCAAACCAGTTGAAACTGAAATCACATTTTGTAAATTAATTATCACTGCACAGAATTTTTTTGGCCAAAAATCCATGGCTGATCAAACACTCGCATCTTTGCGCCTGCTCAAGACATCACTAAGCATTTCTGACTTTAGCTGAGTGAACTTTGTAATAATAAACCACCTCATACAGCTGTAATGACCAAAGTCCAAACTCTATAACTGAAGAGCTCTAAATCATCATTCCAATCAGGTTAGACCTCAGAGAAAGCATTACTGAAAAAAGAACAAAAAAACAGTCTTATCCACTCATCACTTAAAAGTGTACAACCTCTAATGTGAACAAAAAGCCACAGCTTGAAAACGTATCAGTATTATTATGAGGCATAGGGCTATTGGTGCGGCTCTCATAATCTGCACCCCATGACACTGTGTCAGGGACCGATCACATGGTTTAAAAACACAGGACTAACGGAACCATGACTTGGCAAGCATGATTAGCACAGCGACCACAATAGTTGGATTCAACACACATACCGGTATAATCCATAGTTGGGATCAATTTGTCGAACTACAAAATGTATAGGTCGACAAAATGATGTATAGAGAGTCCTGTCTCAACAGTTTACCCAACGACCATATAGACATCAAAAACACTCGCAAAGGGTTAGCAAAGGAGAATGAGCATTACATCTGGAGATCAATGCTAAGATAGGTGGTAAGCAAAAACCAGAAAACAGTGGAAGATAGTTGGGGTAAACAGTATCATTGTTAAATACAAAATCTTTTAAAAACCATCGTTATAAATACCGTGCCTACTAACACTCACTATATACAATGGCACTTCTTAATTTAAGCTAACATTTAGCTAAGCAGGGTGTATTAACAAATGTGAAACTCCGTTAACGACAACTATATCATTAACATATATCGTTAGTAAAAACCAACAACGTAAAGTCACCACAAACCAACCTGGGCGATGATCCTGTGGTAAAAAATCTCAAAAGTGGACTTTTCCTCTGTCTTGGTTGGGAGCGTTAGCTAACGCGCAGGCTAGCTACCAGGCTAACAGCTCCTATAAATGTCTGCCGTTAACAAAACACGTTTCAAGCGTCGACAGCTAAATTATCTCAGACAGCTAGCCTCGCAGCTAACTCTGCTTATCAAAATCAACACTGCCACTGTCGACGTGTATCTCCCTTTGTGTAACAGAGGCGATTCCGTACAACGGTCTGTGTCGCCCTGTTACCGTTGACGCTCGCTTTTTCCGTTAAGCTACCGTGCTAACAGCTAGCCGAGCTCTGTCCACTTCCTCCAAAACAAGCTCTGTTGGTGAGCACTGACGTCACGCGCAGGGCACGCCTGGCTGCACAGGACCTGAGAAGTCACACAAACACAACTGTCACCAATTAAACGTTAACATTTCTCTTTATAGCAGATTATATACATGGTATAACAGTATGTACATACAGCTCTCAGTTCCACTTTGTATTATCTGTTATTTTTTGTAATTATTGCTCTACAATCAACAACAATACTGCTATAATTTAGAAATAAAATCTATCAATTTGATAATCACATTATATAATGTAATCATCAAATTGATAGATCCAGGCCTGTTGCAAGTAAAATGTGTGAGCATTGTGTGGTTGGCCAGCATAATGTGACTTGCTCCCACTTGCTGCTGTGATTGGTGCGTCACTGCTGTCCTTCACTCTACACTTTTACAATCACTATTAGAATATCCTTATGTCAGCCATATTTGCTGTCTGCCAGTGCCAGTGGTGCCACCCAAGGAGAGGTGTTGGCTTGCCATGGCACCTCCTCTTGCTCTCATTTCGCACTGCATGTCTGGTCTGCAGCTGTGGTATTCTATTAGCAGCTGATCTCAAAGAGCCAGTTTACTCAGGTATCCAGGGGTGTATCAGCATCTTTCATGTCCTCTTTTGTCAGTTTATAATACTAGTTGGGTATTTGATGATGACCATTGTGGCAAAATTATTGATAAAATTGATTTTGATCTTTCTATCAAAATGAATTTTTCCATTTTTATTTTATTCTATGTAGGTAATTTGATGCTGAAAACCTTTCATGCCTCCTTGTGGTTTTTATGGAAATCCTGTTACATTCAAGGCATTTTACAGATTTTTTTCAACTACTTCTCATAATTACCTAATTTATTAAATTATGTTCTAAACTACATCCTCTGGACCCAGACTGTATTCTGACACTGAATGTTTTTTTGTTCTGTATCACATTTCATTTACATCTGATTGTCAGCCACATCTCAGGTAATCACATTTCTATTTTACTGCAAATAAAATGCAAATCTATCACCTAAAAATCAAGTTCCTGCCCCCTTTTATGAAGTACTGTACCCACTCACTGCTATGGGTGACAGCTAATAAAAGGTGTATGAGATGCTGGAGAAAGACTGTTGATATTTTGACTCAACAGCAAAAGAAATACACCCCTTCCCTCACTGCTCCATTAGAAGTTCCGCTCCCCCAAAGGCAACAACCCCATGGTGGAATCCTGAGCATCTTATATGGCATGGAAATGGATACTCTTTCTCATAGCTGAAGCGAAGTAAACCTTATAAATGTAACATAATCAAACAAACGACTTGTACACAAATATCCAAAACACAACAGAGTAAAAACTAGTGAGTTAGTTCTTTAGAGTTTTTACAAATCTACAGTGACAGAAGAGAAAACCATAGGTAGCTAAGCTAACAAGGAAGGTAGAACCACTAGAAAACTAGAAAGTAAACACAAGTAAACTAGAAAGTAAGCTTAACATCTGTGGGCAAGCAATTCAACGTTACCAGACAATTTGTGACTATAGTACCTGCGTGCTAACTAACCTGTTTAGATTAGCAATTAAAAACATTAGCAAACGGAACAAAACAATACTGAACAACTGTCTTTGTGAAACATAGCAACTAATGTTACCCACCTGTAAAGCAGAAACAGAGCACCCTCTGCATGTCTTTCAATTCTCTGAGGTACCTCCACTATAGTCGAATTAGCCTTGGGCACATACTGGGACAAATTCTGGTTGGCCACTGTAGCAGTCGGCCGGTGGACCATCAAAACATCCATAAAGTTTTTGAAGTTTTTACTGGCCCTGTCAGTGTCTTTACCTTCCCTCTCTGTGTGCCTGTTATTCAGGGTGCAGATCAGAATTGTTTACTCGACCTATAATGCATGATCAGTATCACTGATTGCAGCCATACCCAGCAAAGTATTATTTATCAGGAACGTCTGCTGGACCCCCGTACTTAACTTTCCCCTATGGTAATTCAGGAAAGTTTTCTTAACATTCCTGGAATTTTTTTTTAAAGTTTGCAAAACATCTAAAATTCAGGGGACCTTCAGGGAATCTTCTCTGAAGGTTCCCTTAAAATAACATGAGGGAACCTTCAGAAAAATTAACATTCAGGGATCCTTTAAAGCACCTGAAAGTCAATGTTTTTTGGGAACGCCTATGGGCTAGATCAGGGGTCTACAACATGTGGCTCACGAGCTACCAGCAGCTCACCCTGTTTTAGAGTAGCTCACCAAAAGGTTCTGATAATGTATGTACAAACCATGGATGCATAGTACAAATTTTAAGCAACACAACTTCACTCAGTAAATCTACTCCAAATGCAACTAAATTAAATACACAGACACCCCCCCCAACACCAAATAATTATTTGTCAGTTGTCAATCAGATGAGTTTCCATGTCAAGTTTGTTTACATCAGACATGCAATAAGTGACATGCAGTGGTAGCAACTTCTCTTTTGTTTTTTTTTCAGCTCATGTTTGTCTACATATTGGAAAATTAGGTGTACCGAATTAGCTTTTTATAAATTCCTGTTTGTTGTGTACCATTGGATGTACTGTTAACTATCACATTAATGACTAAGAAATTAATTTCTTCTCTGATTTCTAAGCAGATTTATGGATATTCATTTACATGGTGTTATCATGTGTGTGTTCAGGTTTTACTGAACCATGATTCTGGTGTGATGTCTGAGTTTCATATGTTTTTGGTATATTGTTATTTGATGATGTTAAATTATCTTATTCATCTGATTTGTTTTGGAGATCAGTTTGAGTGTTTTGATACAGTATTTGAATAAATGTAACCAATAATACAAGAAATGAGTAGCTCTCAGCCCAATTTATTCTGTCAAAGTAGCTCTCAGAGTAAAAAAAAAAGGTTGGAGACCCCTTGGCTACATCTTGATTTATTGACTGTGAGCTTTGGTTTTCAAATATGACTTGGACAATTAATTTTTGCCATAGGTGATTTAGTAATGTGATTTTGGCAAAAAAGTCATGGTGGACAATCAACTGAGTATAAAACCCCTGCGATTATAATATAATCCGGATATAAAAACACTCGTGAAGGCTTAAAAGCGAAGGACCACTGCCGAAACCCGGGATCGAACCAGGGACCTTTAGATCTTCAGTCTAACGCTCTCCCAACTGAGCTATTTCGGCTGGATGCCCTGTCAAAATCATCACACAACATCTTATTTATAGTTTCTCAGAAGCCTGGTGTAAGACAAGTGAACTGGTCAATATAACGGTTGTATATTATTATCGACGGTAAACTGACACGGGTGCCATCAGCAGGCCATCAAAGGTCACTTTCACAGACACTTCACGGTAAGCCGGTCCAATATGGACCAAAACACAGATATAAAACGTTTAATGGGATATTATTTCAAATAGTTTTGTCTATCGAAAAAAACTCTCTAGTGATTGTTTTTCTGTCTGATTTTACAGTCGTTTCAGACGCACAGCACGTTGTAAGGAGCGCGCCGTGACGTAATCGCGTAGGACTGAATGAAGCGTCATCCTTTCTGATGTAGAGCGGCACGGCGGCCTTTCTTTGCTGCTCTACATTTCCCCCAGTTTTTCCGCCCTTATCCCGGTATTTCAGCTCTTAATTTCTTGAACCATGGCTCTGAAGGCGCCACTTCTCGCAGCTTTCCTGCTCCTTGTAGCTGCTCTGGGCTCGAAGGTTTCAGCGGACGGTTTGGTGAACGAGGAGGTGAAGAGGACAGTGGACCTGAGCACTCATCTGGCTAAAATCACCGCGGAGATCGTGTTGTCCAACCAGGGACACTCTGCCGTCCAGAGCTTCATACTCGCGGTAGAGGCTGATCTGGCCCCAAACCTGGCTTACATTGGAGCCTCGGTGAGCTAAACATCAGTGAATGAAACAACGCCAGCACTTCAGGTTGTAGCCGGCTAGCCAGCTGTAGCCTGTTAGCTACTCTATAGCAGGCTACACGTACCTTAGCTTTGCTAAATCCTGCAGCTTTCACGTTTATTTGTTTTGCATTTAAGTGACAACAGCAATGGTGCTCAGGTTAATATAAGTACGCTACCATACGATGTGACAACGTGCTTGGTGAAGGCATTAAATCACAGGTACTTGAAGTGTGATTCAGTGTGACACTGCGGACAGTGAGTGAACTCTGAAAGCAAAAAGGCTACAGTTAAGCAACGGTAGCTGCTGTCTCGGGGCGTTTATTGTTAAGTGCAATGCTTTTACATCGTCTCAGGTGTTGTGAGAAGAAATGCATGTACCGAAAAGCTCAGATGAGAGAAATTCATTTGAATCGCTGAGGATGTAGGTAAGAAAACGTTAACTTCCGCAGCGCTCCACGCTCTCTCAGTGGCTGAATGACACGTATGCGCTGGGCAGCTCACTTCCTTGTGTGACTGCGCAGACCTGCCCCCTTCCTTTATGAATGAAACTGTAGCAATGATCTGTTTGCAGACAGAATATTGAGCTACGTATTCTTACATAAACGGTCTGTTATGCATTGCATTACAAAGCACTCAAATTTCCTGTATTTTCACTTCTAATGATGCAGGCCGAGCGCCAACATCATGAGTAAATTCATTTCAAAGACATAACGCTCTAATAAACATATTTTCACAGGTGAAGGGCGAGGAGGAGGAGGATGGCACACTTGAACTCCAACAGACAACAATCCCGGGCCAAAGGTAAGAGATCACTCTTAAATAGTCATCTAACCAGATTCATGACTAAACTGATGAAAACTATGTGTATTATCAATCAAGTTGAATCATATTTTTGATGAGTGTTCCCTCTCCTATTGCCTTTAGCCTGGGATACACAAAATCATACTTTTATAAAAGTACACATTGTTGTCCCACGGTTCCTTTCTTCACCGATCAAATCTCACAACAGAAATCTTCCTGTCAAACTGCTTTCTATCAGTCCAGTGACTTTTAATATAAAAACAAATCGATTTGACTGTAAAATTACAACTTTTTTGATG